TATCCTGTTAGTCTCCATTTTTTTCAGTGTGGTTATATAGGCTGTTGGTTTGGATCAAAATCTACTCTCTCCTTCACCTCAGGCTCATGGCTATGTTCACCAGCAAAAACCCATGGAGACCCAGCTCCTACCATGAAACAATGCTCAAGGATGACAGAGCTAGAGCTGGAAAGAACTGTCTCTGAATGATCCTGTAAGAGCAGAACCACCTGCCCACCAAGAATGCTCACTTGAACCTGGAACACTTACTTCAGGATGTCACATGAAAGAAAAACTATTTTCCTAGATTATGTATGTGTTAGTCAGCCGTATGCTGACAAATACACTCGGGAAAGCTTTGCCCAGGTCACTTCGTACTAGCTTAGGTTTCCTGGTAAAGGCTCCCACAGCATCCTCTACCACTTCTCAGTACTTATGACGCCTGTACTTATTTATGTCATTTACTCATTTAACAAACATATACTGAGTACCTAGTCTGTCTGCCTGGCACTGTTCTAGAAACTAGGGATAACAGTGGTGTTCCAGATGGACAAGATCCCTTGTCTCCTGGAATTTACTTTCTTCTGGGAAGACAACAACACACATATATCCCCTAAGAAAACAGAAGCTATGATGAAAACAAAACACAATGATATGACAGAGATGGTGGGAGAGGCAGAGATACTCTAGATTTGGTGGTCAAGGAAAGCCTTGTTAAGGTTGTGGCACTTAAGCTAAGATCTAACTGACAAGAAGAAGCCATTCCAGTGGAAGAGAACAGTTAGTGCCAAGGCACATTCTTGGCTTATTTGAAGAAGAGAGCAGTGTAGATGGAATAGAATAGGAAAGAAAATAATAGAAGCAGGCAGACAAGAGCCAGATCACGTATTAACTCATGAGGCCACCCTAAATGTTATTCTAAGTATGACTATTTAAAAGCTGACTTCTTGGGATGCCTGGGTGGCTCAGTTGGTCAAGCGTCTAACTCTTGATTTTGGCCCAGGATGTGATTTCAGGGTTGTGAGACTGAGCCCTGAAACAGGCTCCACGCTGGGTATGAAGCCTACCCAAGATGCTCTCTCGCTCTCTCTCTCTGCCTCTCCCCCTCCTCCCTACCTCCCTCAAAAAGTTGACTTCTCTTCTAAACTGCAAATTCTGTAAGGGTAATTCTAATACCAGTGTAGGTATCTTTTTGGGGGTGGGTATCACCAGCATCTATCACATACGGTATGTGTCAAATGTTTGTTAGAATGAATGACTAGAAAGAGATCTTTACTTCTCCATATGTAAACATAAGGGGATCTCAGGTGTCATACTGACTGAATTAGACAAATAATCAACTGAAATAGAAATTATAGTCTCTTGCCTACAAAAGAATACCTAAACTAGTTTTCTAAGTGTAGTGATACAGAAGGAAAAAATAAGCATGAAACCCTAAGGACACTATTTGAATGAAAGTCCACCACCTCTTTCCTGTAACACTTTCCTTCATAAGGAACCAGCAAGCCAATTACCCAACTAGTATGCAAAGAGAGGGTGTGGAATAAGTGGTGCTGGCTGATGAAAGAGTAATTCTACAATTCTATGTAACTTACAGCCATATAATCAATATTTTGTAATATTTTGGTAAACTATCCTTCTAGGCAGGATATCTTTTCCTAAATTTCAATCTCTCCATTATTTGGAATGATGAATCTATAGCAATAGAACAAAAGAAAAGTACGTATTTTTTGTCTTTGGTAAAAAGGTATGATCTTGGTATGTGCACCCAACAGTTTACAAGGCCTATAAAATTTAGAATGAAGAAAGCTATACCTCAAGGAGTTTCAAGCATAAGGAAAATGTCAAATTAACAAAGTAAACATCAATATGGAACATGAATCTTGAGATGACCCAGTTTAGATCAGTCAGCAAAGGCCTAAGGAAAAGAGGACTTAAATAAGGTAACAATACTTTGGCAGATAGAAGGTAGAATAACTTCTTTCAGATTAATGAGATAACTTTTGCCAGTATGCCAGGGAATGTGGAAAAATGAAAAACTGTTTCAAGTAAGGAGATGTACTCGACTGAAGCAAAAAACACTGGCAAAAAAGTACAGGGATTCTTACAGCTAAAACGGACATGATGAGACTCTTTCCAAAACCCCCTAATTCCAAGGTGAGAAAAAGAAGACCCAAGAAAGGCAAACAAGTTTTACATAGAGCTAATGAGTTGTAATGCTGGCAAAGAATTCAGGTCTTCTGATTCTTTTCCATTAAGCACTCTGGGAAAGCACCATTCCAGGTGCCCTTAAAGAATCCAAAAGAAATATACATAAGCTTCCCTATCTTCTAGGAGTTTAGAATGTTGCTTAGGTGATGTAACACACATACACACATACACACACACACACACACACACAGAGGAAAAAGAAAGAAAGGGAAAAATATAAAAACAGGATATAAAAGGTTTTTTTACAGAGCCAAATTATGCTCTACAAAAATACATAAGTCATTTAGGGAGCTGTGAAGTTAGGAACAAAAAAGGAACCAAAAAGCAAATCACTGATTGTTGAAGTGGTACTTGAAGGAAAAATGATTTTGATGGGTTGTGTTCAGAATGGCACAATGTAAGGGAAATGTAAGGGAAGAGACTAGGGAGAAATTAATAACTGTAACCTGAAAAAAAAAGCTAAAAACATATGGATTGCTTTATGCAGTCGTGAAAATTAAAAAGGGCAGATCAGGAAGTTCATGTTTGCAAAATTACTTCAAATTACAAAAAGACCAGTTACAATATATAACTAACAACAAGTTGTGCAAGTTCCAAGTGTAAGAAGTTTACAAGGCAGGTTTGGCTCACTGATTTCTCCCAACACAACCACTGACTGAGCTGAGCTTATGAAAACAAAACCACAGAACAAAGAAATTCTATTTTCCAGAGAATTGTGAATTTTGAGATTATCTTTTTTTCTTTTAGGAGGGAGTTTTGGTTTGGTTTTAAATCTCAAGTTACCAACCAACTTACTCTACAATCCATAAAACTACAATATCCAAAAATGGCATAAACTATTTATGAGTATCACCAGAAGTCCTACTTACCAACTAGAGCCAGTATACATATTTACAAGATCTCACTCACCATTTTACTCATCAGATGCTTTACTGGCTTGGCTGCCTCCAGTTCCAACCACAAGTTACTTTACTAAAATATCCTCCCAGCAAGGAACAGTATCTTAAAGTCACAGATATACTTCCATCATACCAGTATTGTAACACAGAACTCTGGGGTAATTACATGTAAAGATCCAAAATCATAGGTAACAGGACTTGTTAGATTTTTTAAATGTTTTCAGAAAGCTTTAGACCTATATAAGTAAAAGCCTGTAGTGACTTGAAATCTCTAAACAATCTTCAAAACACACACACTACAGACCAGGAGTCAAAAATAGCTTTACACAAACAAGAGCAAAATTGTAGGTTTTGCTGAGGGCATCAGCCACTTAATTTAACCCCATTTCATAAAGAGCAGGATGCCAGGCTGCTGTTTTCATCAGTTACTAGGGAACAAATAAGATAAAGGACAGACTAGGCAGAAGAGTCTACAGTTGAAATGAATATTTTGATGCAATTTCTGAAAATTCCCCAAGTGTCACTAAGAAAAAGCACCTAGGGCTTCCTCAAAACGAGCTGAGGGAGTGCTTTACGTGCAAGAAAGACACACTGAGGCTGAGGATTGTTTTTTCCCCTTCTCGAGCCCCTCCTCCCTTCCCCCACCTAAACAGGAAAGAAAACGCGCCCAGCATAAACACAAGGCCAGTGCTCACGGTTTGTCACCACAACAAACTGGAGGTTAGACCAGCGCTCTTGGAGACCGAGCCCCAAGTCCCGGTTGCTAAACACAAAAAGGGCCTCTTTCCCACAGACCTGCGAACAGTGCGGGCCTTACCCAAGAGTTTTTGGTTGTTTCCTCACCTTTTCTCTCTCTTTTCTTTAAACGAAAGCTTTGGAAAAGTGGCGACAGACAGCAAAAGTTTCCCTCCGAGCCAGACCTCTAAATCCGCCTTGCACAGACACACATTAGGTGGGCTGGTCCCACGTAGTCTCCACCATCATTACAAATTACAAACCTAACGATTAAAGAACAGAAGCGGAGAGGATAGAAAAGCTTCCACACCCACCCCGCCACCGCCGTCCTTTCCAGACACCGCTTCCTGGTCGCAAAGAGCACAAATAACCCAAAACCATGGTGATAAGCAGAGCTGTGAAATACACACGCACAAGCCACACGATGGGAACCTGCCACGACGGCCGGGGAAAAAACCGGCCGGGTGAGGAGGCGCAAGGCGGCCCCCTGTCATCTGAGGACAACAACACGCCCCAAAGAGAAGTGGCAGGAGGCAGGGGGAGTTGCCCCGAAAACAAGCCCGGAGCCTCCTCGCTTTCCCGGGAACGCAAGCTCCTCCGCGGCCGCTAGCGGCCGGGCCGCCGGACTGGGCACCGGGTCCCGGGTGGGGGCGCGCCCAGGGAGGCGCCCCCCGCAGGCCGGGCGCCCCCGAGAGCCCGCGGCCCTCCCGGCCCCGCCTCGGGAAGCGGATGGGAGCTCGCTCCCCGCCAAGGCCCCTTCCCGCCCGGTCCGACTCACCGCCGGTGGGTCTGGTTCTCAGCCGCGAGCTGGGGCTGCCGTGAGGAGGCGGCGGAGGAGACGAGATCCGGGGCCCCGTCGCCGGGTCATCATACCCCCCGCGCGAGCCGGCCCGGGCCCCGGCCCCCGCCCCCCGGAGCCGTCCCCGCGCCCGTCTCGCGGGGGGAGCCCCCTCAGCCTCCCGCCCGCTCCGCCGCCCGGCCCCTGGCCGCCGCCGCCGCCTCAGCCCCGCGCGCTCCCGCCTCGGCCTCCCGCTGCCGTCCGGGGCCACCGCCGGGCCCCTCGTTCCGCAGCCTCCGTTGTCGCCAGACCCGACGAGCCGAGCGCCGAGCGGCCGCCCCCCATCCGGCGGCCCCGCCCCGCGGGAACCATTCACAGTCCAGCGCCATGACACCTACTGAGGCGGAAGTGTCGAGGAGCGGGCGGATTAGGAGGACCGCATAGTACAGATGCGAGTGGGAGTGGGGGGGCCTCCGTGGGGAGCCAGCGTGGATCGAGTGCGGGGGCCGGATTCCCCGCCCCCTCCGCGCGACAGACTCCGCGGTGATTTAAAGGTGCTTGGTGGCGGTGGTGGGGTCCAGCTGTGAAATGTCATCCCAGCCAGTGTGACATCACCACAGTCTAGTGTGACACCCCCAGAGATTGGGCAGCGCGCGGTGAAGCAGTGCCTACCTGGGAAGCCCCCCTGCTGGTGAGGAATTCACCTCAGTTTAGGCTTAAACGTTTCGTTGCCATCTAGAGTCGTTCTGGCAGAGTGGCATCCGTGCACGGGATCTGGAAGCCTCCTCGTACATCAGGAGCCGCTTAGGAGACGACCGCTGCCCGCCATAGGAAAACTGTGTGCATTGCGAGGTGAGAAGGAGCAGCTGTGCTCTGGACCCAGCCCTTCAAAACGTGCAGTGGGCAAATGCTACCATATCGTTCTTGCCTCGAGCAGAAGATAGTAAGACTGGGTATTCAGGAACGGGAGTGCATTGGACACACAGCATTCAGAAAAAAATGGACACTGTAAAAACTAGGTTATTCTAAAAGAAAGACTGTTGCCATCTCCCAGAGTCAAGAGATTCTCTCCGTAGGACTTCAGAAGCACCTCCCGCTGTGTAAAATGTTCTTGTTCCTAAAGTGGGGACCATTTTTAGAGACAGTAGTGTAACCTGTTTATTTTTTCTATCCTGCAAAGTGCTGGAGGCAGCAATGATCTGAGCCCTACAAAGTGACCGTCCAGCATCATGGTTGTTTGCATATACTCTTTGAGGAGGGGGACAGAAGTGGCTAAGTCAAGATTCTGCTGTTACACTGTATTTCTCAGATCTCACTTGTATACATTCTTGACCTATTTGGATCCCTATCTCCTCACAAAAAGAAAAAAAAAGTGAAGATGTGCTAATACTCTTGTGAAGAAGTGGTAATACTGTGTTTGTTTGTTCGTTAAGGTTTCTTTTCTGGCTTAACAGCACTGGGAGCAGTTCTGTTTTATTGGGAAAAGGGAAGTTTATTTCCCTAGAGGACCAAGGTTAGCAAGTGTTCAATCCCACTGGGCAGTTTTGTTTGCTTATCTTCACAGGAACTGAGAACATAAAGTCCTACATTGGGCTGACCTGGGAAACATCAAAATACAGAGAGTGGGTGAGCATGCCCACTTGGGGAGGAGCCAGGAAAAAGGCAGAACTTGAGCTGGGGAGTAGAATAGATCCTGCTCTACAAGCAGGCTTCAAACACACTAATTACTTACCATGACTTGGCTCAACCAAACTCAGTGACATGCTTCTAGGCTCCTACTATCTCAAGTTATGTCCCTTTCCTCTTTTCAGACACATCTCAAAGTCCAACTTGAGGGAACCTTTTCTGATTGACTCCCATTTTATTCTAATTATTTAATTCGACATCATCATCTGTGTATTTACTTCCCTGTACCTTATTTGTACTTGCTGATCTAGGTTCATGGTTCTTAGGTCATTCCTTCAGTCGGCCTCACTACATGGAGACCTTCTCAAAATCTACTATTTCCCCCTCTCTAATATACATTTATCCATCCAACAAACTGTATGCCTCCTCTACTCCAGGCATTCTCCTAGATACTGGGTCATATGCAAAATGAATAAGACATTCCCTTTGCTCACAGTCAACAAGGAAAAAAAAAAAATGCATGGTGACATATATAAGACTTGAATGACAGAGCTAAAGACTCCAGAAAAGGAGATATTTAAACAGGGCATGGTCATAGAAGTTTCAAGTTTAATGTAGCTGGGTTCATTTGTCCCTTCAGCAAATGTCTATTGAGTATCTTTGTGTGCCAGGCACTATATTGGAAATTAAAGATACGAAAAAGAAAATGCATGGTCCATGGTCTGAAAGAGCCGACCCTTCAGCAGAGAAGGCAAGATACGGAATTAGTAAATTAGGTTGAGTCAGATTTTAAAGGCCATGAAGAACTCTTAGAGGTTTAGCCAAACAGGTAATATGAAGGAATCTGTGCTTTAAGGAGAGAGGCAGTGGCAGTGAGAAGGATGGCTGACTGGGACATGTAAAGACTAGAGAAACAGAGACTAATTAGAAGGTTATGATGAAGGTTTGGTCAAGCAGAGACCCTGGAGAGAAGGGGTCAGAGAGGAGAACTCTTTCTTCCTAGACAAAATGAGTGCCACTAGAGAGGGAGCTGTTGCCGGTTGGAAGCATTGAATCTCACCTAGGGTATGATATTTCTCTGTAACCTAGAGCCTAGATTCAGTGTTGCAGACAGGAAGTACTCGCTCAGGAGCTGCATTACTTAAGACCAAGTAGGAGAAGCTGACCCAAAGGCTGAGTCACAGGAGAAGTTGAATCAAAAAACTTGTCCAACTATCCGAACAAATAGTGAATCCAAGGGTCCAGGAAAAAAAATAGAGAGAGAATTCAAATAGACGCTGACAGTTGTAAAACTGGGAGAAACCAGGTGAGACAAAAGGTCTGAAGGAAAAGATAAGAGGCAGAACATGGAAAAAGCCTTTGAAACAAGAGGGCATCCTCAGTGGTTTTTTAAAATCTAGGTCCCAGAAAACTTCTTACTTGGAAATAATTCCAAACACACAGAGAAGTTGATAATAAAAAGAGCACCCATAAATCCTTTACTTGGATTTGTTGATTAATTTGGATTTGTTGATTGCCCCTTTTGCTCTAACACTTGCAGTCAGTCTCAAATAGATAGCACACATACACACCCATTTTTTTCTGACCATTTGAAAGTAAAATGGCATCTACCATGCCCCTTTATCCCTTAATGCTTCAATGTCCTAAGAATATGTACATTCTTTTACATACACAACATGTACCGTTATCAATTCCAGGAGACTTAACATTGATACCATACTTCAATCTACATCCATATTCCAAATTTCATCAATAATCCAATAATGTCATTCTTACCCATTTTCCCCTTCGAGTAAGAGGATCCATATATTGCATGTCTCTTTAGTCTCCTTTAATCTGTTTCAGTTCCTTAGCTTTTCTTTGTCTTTGATATTTTGGAAGGGTACAGCCCGCCCCCTTTGTTTGGACAAGAGAATGTTCCTCATTTCCAATTTGTTGTTTATGTTTGTCTCACCTTTATTCATTATTAGACCCCAGTTATCCATTCCTGGCCAGAATACTATTGTGATATTGTGATATTGTGTCCTCCTCAGGATATCAAACCCAAGGTCAGATGATGACTCTCTCCCTCATTGGGTGATGATAATTTTGGTCACCTTGTTGAGGTGTCTGATTCCTCCACAGTATATTTACTATTTTTTTCCCTGTAATAAGCAATCCATGGGGAGACATCTTAGACTCTGCAAATATCCTGCTCCTCATCAAATGTGTTCCCATAGATTTAGCATCTATTGATGGTTCTTACTTGTACCAATCCTCCCTTATCTCTTATTAATTAATTAGTTATCTATTAATGATATAGACTCATGGATTACTGTGTTTTTCAATGGTTTATTCCTTACAGTCCTTAATTATTTGCATGCTAAAATTTTCCAGATTTAGTCAATGAGGGCCTTTTCAAGCTCCTTTGTCTTTCTTTTTTTTTTTTTTTTAAGATTTTATTTATTTTTTTGACAGAGAGAGACACAACAATAGAGGAAACAGAAGCAAGGGGGAATGGCAGTGGGAGAAGCAGGCTTCCCACTGAGCAGGGAGCCTAATGCGGGGCTGGATCCCAGGACCCTGGGATTGTGACCTGAGCCAAAGGCAGATGCCCAACGACTGAGCCACCCAGGCACCCCGCTCCTGTGTCTTTTTTAGCATGCCCAATTTCCACATGTTCCAGATTCATCTTGATTCTTGCAGGTTCACCATTCCTTGGAGCATTGGATTTCTCTACTGAAGGCTTTGTATCTGGCCAGAAAAAAACAAAGGGAAGAGAACATATGGATTATTTGTGTGGGAAGTTTTTTTTTAAGATTTTTATTTATTTACTTGGGAGGAAGAGAGAGCATAGAGAGAGAGGGAGAAGTCGACTCCCTGCTGGGCAGAGAGTCCAATGCGGGGCTTAATCCCAGGACCCTGAGATCATAACCTGAGCCAAAGGCAGCTGCTTAACCAACTGAGCCATCCCATGTGGGAAGTTTTTATAGGCCAGGCCTGCAGGTAGCAAACACATAGATTTACTTCGTACACATCACACTGGTGGTAACTCAGGAACATGGATACTGCTGCAATGATTAGGAGATGACACAATCTATCTGTGTGCCCAAGAGACTTGACATAGTAAAAATTAGGCCAGTCTCCACCATGCTTGTCCAAAAGCTATTTTCTATGTTACTTCGTCCATATTGGTAGGATCCCCGTTTTGTTCAGACAGAAGGAAGATCCTTTGATTTCAAAGAAGATAAATTCCTCTCACCAAATCAGGAAATGAATTACAGTGGTCCAAACCAATCCTGGTAATTCCAGTTCTTGTCACCAGTGACTAGTCTAAAAGTGCATATAGACTCAGTTCTGAAATAGGAAAGGAAGTCTAATGGGAGGCTCATAGGAAAATTTTTCTTTTTGTATAAAAAAGACAGGACCTTCACATAAGAAATTCTTTGTCCCTGCCTCTCTTTTTGCTGAGTGAAAACACCAGGCGTGGAGCTGTCATACCCATCTTGTGACCATAAATGTGACAGCAAACAAAGATGAAGACAGTCAGGATGTTGAGGACAGCAAAGGAGACAGAAAGGAGTCTTTGACGACAGAAGTAAGCTTCTGAATGAACCTGGGACTGCCCACTGCTTCTGGACTTTTTAAGTAAACAAACATTCGTATGTTTCAAGAACACTGCTAGAAGAGTTTTCTGTTCTTTGCTGCCAAAAATCATTCTTAAGTGACACGGGAGAGAAGTAGAAGAGCTTTTCTGGGAAAAGGAGCTAATTGGTGGTATCTGAATGTTCTGAGAAGTAAAGGAGAATAAGGATGGAAGAGTGGCCAGTGGATTTGCAATGAGATGGTCCCTATGGATCTTAGTAAGATCAAGTGGCATGGTGGGGAGGAAGAAGCAATGTGATTCCTACAAAGGATTTTTCCTGGTATGAGTGGTGACTGA